AAAAACGAGCGTCGAACGTGCGTTTCATTGGACTAAAAAAACGAGCATAAAACGCGCCCATTAGGAAAGCCCAGGTGTGAACCCAGCCTAAAAGTCCAAGAAGCATTCACTAGGAGTTGGTCCCGGCAGGAAAGTGTACAACTTGATCGGTGAGGCCAAAGGCCTGAATGATGGTCTGCCTGAGCCCACTAGAGATGGAAAGAAGAAGCTCCCTTATGGGATCAATGCAGGATCACAAAAAAAGGGAATCGGTCTACCTGAAAGCAGCAATGGCTCAGAGTCGCATTCCCTCAGCCCAAACCACATCAAGGCAATGGAAAGAAGACATTTCTGGTGGCATTTTTGTTGGGTGAACTGGACAGAACAATGTCCTGGTTGAGGCAAAAGGCAGAAACTACCTTAGACAATGAAGGAATTCCTGGGCCTCAACATGACCTTGTTCCTATCTATGCTAAACCAAAAAAAAAGGGTTTGCTTGCAGGATAAGGTCGCCCGTTCAGACACTTGGCTTGCAGAGGTGAAGGCTACAACACCATTTTGTGGTTGGCAGAGAGAGAGAGAATGGCTCTAATGTGTTCAGGCAGTTTGACTGGCAGAGAAAACCAGAATCAGATCCCACTGAGTTGCAGGAGAAGTAGACGGGTAATCCTGAGGCCTCCACCTTGGGATATACCCAAAAGGACAGACAAAACCAAAGGGCAGGGCCATGAACTGCTAGTGCAGGGGCCACAGCAAAGCATAGAGATTGCCGATTTACTGGAAAGATGGGAACGTGTAGGTAAGCATCCTTGATGTCAAAGAATGTAGAAAGTTTCCCTGGTGAAGTGAGGTAATTACAGATCTGGTGGATTCCATGAGGAATTTCTGGGCCCATATGAAGACATTCGGAGCTTTGAGATCCAAGATGGGGCAGAGAACTCAAAAGTGGATTATAAAAAAAAACTTGAAACCATTCTGCTGCAGGAACTTGGGTCCCCTCCTCTCTCCTGACACTGTCGGGCTCTCGGCCCGTGACTGAGTGCCCGACTTCATAGGGGGTGACACCAAAATGACTTAGTCATTTTGGTGTCACCCCTCCAATGGTGGCACTTGGGTGTGGGCCGCACCCCCCTTGTGACGCCACTGGGCTCGATGAAGCTCTGCTAATCAGTGTAGTGACAAGGGGAAGTTGGAGGTAAGAAACCAAGGAGGGTGCAGGTAGTGAAACTCCTGTATGAAGCCAGAGGATACCACCTTCGGCTTCCCGGCATCTGAGCTGCAAGCTGTTCAAGTATCTGCAAAGTTCGGCAAACACAATAACCGCACCACCACATCTTCATGCACAGGAAGGTTTGTCTGGAGACTTGGCAGGCTTTGAGTGCCACACCTTGAGGCTTAGTTCACACCATAAGCAGTGCTTTCCGGTCCGATTCTAGCCGGAACGTACTGCCTCACATTGCGGCCGGCTCACTTTTTTTGCCGGGCTGGAGGGGGCGTGACGGGCCATTGAAGTGAATGGCACCGTAGCCACGCCCTCCGGCCGCAATGCGATCGCCCGCACGGGATCGCAAGGCACATTGTGCCTGCAGTGCGGTCTGATCAAAATAGTGCTTGCAGCATTTTGATCGCACCCGCAGGGATTCCTCCTCTCCAACGCTGACTGGAGGAACGGACAGCGGAGGGGACGGGCACAGCTGGCTCTGCCTATCTTTCGACTGGGTGGATCTCGACAGTACTGGCGAGATCCGTCCAGACTGCGGTGCTCTCAGTATATGGTATGCTACAGCTCGCTATATACTGAGTTTTGGTTCACGGGAGGAGGTTAGTATAGGTCCTCCCGTGGCCCTAAGGAGACCTATGGGATAAAAAGGTTACCCCGTACATCTAACAGATATACCATGACCTAGATCAGGGGTGCCCAATAGGTCGATCGCAATGTCCTGTCCTCCTGCCGTGGGGTTTCTCTGGATCCCCGCTGCCCTCCCCCATCTGTATGCAGCAGGGATACGAGAAGTGAACGAAGCGCCGCAGTCGGCGGTGGGGGCGGAGCCGCTATAACAACAGCCGCTCGGTCTCAATGGGGAGTAGCACTCTGTACAGAGGCTCCTCCCCATTCAGAAACTGTTTGATAGTAAATATTTTCTGTATGACTGGGAATCCTCTGTGCTTTCCATTCATTTAGAACAGAGGCTGAAGAAAAAAAGAGATTGAGGACTCTTTGTGTCCCCTCCCCCCCGAATGCAGGTGTTTTTTCATTGGTAGATCTCATTGACCTTGTCATTTGAAAAGTAGATCTCCGAACGAAAAAAGGTGGGTGCCCTGGACCTAGATGAATGAGAACCTTCACAGACATCACCAACAGTAGGCATGCTGCAAGCAGCCGAGTAGTTAGGAGAAAGTGAGACGGGGACACCTGCTATAGTAGAACGTTTCCCCCAGTGTCTAGAATCAGGACGTGTTGTGAGCATGTGGCAGTAAGGCAATGTGTAGGCTCAGGGCACAAGGAAAGGTCTCAAGTACTCAGGACACCTGGACAGCTGGCTGAAGGTAACCAAAGTCACTGTAGGTGGGTAGAAGGAATGGACTGAAGTTCCATGCGACTCTGTGCACGCAGGAGCAGCGGCAGGGAGATGCTTCCTCAACACTCTATGGCAGGAAGGAGAGTGCACGTGACACTCCACCCGATGGATGATGGCAGCAATAAGTCCTCAATGGAGGAGAAAGAAAGAAGACATCCCACACACAGATGACAGTCTTATGAGACGCATCTCACAGACCTATAGATGTCCAGTGCAGAGATTCTCTATTATAGATATAGAAATGTACTCGCCTGACAAGGAAAGGAAACTCCAATTATCTTCAGTAAAAGTTAGCTGTGTGGCGAAACCCAAACATTCTGCACTGTGCCATAATCCGGCCAATTCCCAAATCTGTCTAACCCCTTGCTGACCCCCTTCCTGTCCCGGCCACTTTTCAGTATTCAGCGCTGGGGTTCCTTTGACTGACATTTATTCCGTCATACAACGCTGCACTGAAATACATTTTATACCATATTTTGGGGACAGATGGAGCTTACTTTTGGTGGTTTTTAATCACCAATGGGGGGGGGTGTTTATTTTTTACTATATTAAGGAAAAATTACAGAAAATGTTGGGGGAAAAAAAAGGGTTTTTTTTTTACATTATGTTAGAAAACAATTACTTAATTTTTTGGTAAAATATAAAAGATCGGGTCGTGTCGGGTAAATAGACACCCAACATGTCAAGCTTTAGAATTGCGTGCACCCGCACAAAAACTACCATACCGAAAAATTGACCATAGGAGAGGTTTTAAAAGCTTTTACCGCTCATCAATTTAGTGTTATCAGTGATTGATGACCCTACAATTATTGCTCTCATTCCGACGTTCGGGGCGATATGCAACATGTGCGGCGTAAAGGGCGCACGCGTGTATGTATGATGGGAACTTTAAATGTTTTTTTGGGGGTTTCTTTATTCTTTTTTTATGTGACTTAAACATTTTTTTGCCCAACTTTTTTCCCCCCCCCCCTCCCCCCACTTAACTGTGTTGCTATCACATAGGGGGCCAAGAAATCCTCTATGTCAGGGGTAGCCAAACTCCGGCCCTCCAGCTGTGGTGTAACTACAAATCCCATGATGCATCTCTCTCCGGGAGTCATGTCTGTGGCTGTAAGGATCTTGCAATACCTCATGGGATTTGTAGTCCCACCACAGCTGGAGGGCCGAAGTTTGGCTACCCCTGCTCTATGTGATAGCAAAGAGATGTGACAGGTCCTCTTTATGGAGACATAAGGGGTCTCCAAGACCCCCGTCACCTAGGGACCCCCTAAGAAGCTGATGAAGCAGAGATCTGCTTCACAACGGCACCTTATAAAAGCGATCCGCCGGCTATCGCTTGTATGTAAACGGGCATCGCTGCCTGATTTTAAATTTGGGCAGGTTCCTGCACGCTGAGTGGGCGTGTCTGGTGGGACGTTTAAATACGCTCGCTCAGATCTAGGAAGCTCCCGGCCGGCTGTATCTTTACAACGGCCGGCAGGCAGTTAAATACATCATTCAACCTCAATGGGCAGCACAGCGGCTTAGTGGTTAGCACTTCTGCCTTGCAGCACTGGGGGTCTCTGGTTCCATCCCTGGCCAGGTCACTATCTGCATGGAGTTTGCATGTTCTCCCTGTGCTTGTGTGGGTTTCCTCCGGGTACTCCGGTTTCCTCCCACACTCCAAAGACATCCTGGAAGGTTACTTGGCCCCCATCTATGTTAGCCCTGTGTGCATGTGAGATAGGGACCTTAGATTGTACGCTCCCAGAGGGAGCGCGGTGTACAAATGTCGGCGCCATAACCATACCAATGGAAAACACCAACAGCAAACAGACTCCAATTTGCAATGTGCAGGTGGCCATCTTTATTACATCTCAAATATTTAATTATTTCATGAGAACACTCTCAACAATGGGGGTGTACATTACTGGAACTGTAGTCGGGGTGAGCGGCACCATCAATGCTATAGACAGGACCCTGGCCGGAATTTCTTGGCCTTGCCCTGGACAAAGCGTTCCAACTTTCATGTAAAACCAAACTGCAAAACCAAGGCCCGCCTAACGCAAATCAGACAATTCGCTCAACACCTGTGCGGGATTTCCTGGGAACTATGGAAATGGCTTCTTAGGGTAGACTGTAGTGCATATTGCAAATACCAACCTGATACTGCTGGAATACAGATCAGAGGGATGGGGGCCAAGTGTGATCTCTGTAGAGCTACTGAAGAGAACCTGTCTAAAGCCCTAGGGGCAAGTCAGGCGATTTATGGCAATTTCTACATCTCAGTGTCAGAGAAGGATCTCTAGGTGACAACCTTGAAGCAGTGTTACCCTCTTCTGAAGCTGTGTGAAGGGTAACACTACTCCACAACCTCCACACGCAGCTTCTGGAGAGAGAGAGAGAGGGGGCGTTGACACTGCTCGTACATCTCATGCTCGGTGCGAGTGAAATCACATCTGGTTGGTGGTCGTCTCTGGTGGGGAGGAAGGGCTGGGGGGACTCCAGGATCTTCGCACGACACCAAATACCTCATTATGCTTCCAGCTCAAAGCCCAAGCCCACCTTGTGACCTCCAGAAGTAAAACTCTTCCCGTTGACCAGAGCAGAGACGGTCACCTTCACACCTGTAAACAGACAAGACCGTCATTTCTGATTAACATGGAAATCTTCCAGACAGACAGCCGTCCGTCCGTCCCTCACACATCTAGATTTCTTCCAGCATTGTGTGCTGCAGGGCCCGGGATGGTGTATTTAAAGTGTTTGCAATAAAGTGTAAGTGATTGGGGGGGGGAGCAGTGAAGAACAGATCATGGAGCCACGTAAGGGAATATCACTGGTAGTAACATATGTCATGTTCACCCCTACCAATACAACATCATGACTAGCATGGGCAGCACTCAGTTCAAATGTTCTAGTGGTTTGTTCCCAGTGCAAACCAGCACAGCAATAAAAGAAGAGTAACCACCAACATCCTGGACCATCGTGACGTGTATTGCTTCATTCGATTCCAATATTTGCTCAGATGGGACTAAGGTATAAAGAAGTGAAGATAAAGTGATGATCTCAGACATCAATGAGATTCTGGTTCTTGTAGCAGAGATGACTTCACAGCTGGAGGCCATCATTTGCATAGTGAGAGGCCCGGGTCTGAGGAATGCCACAGTAGTCAGGAGCCTAAGGGCCTAAAGAGATCCTACTGCCAGAACAGTCATATGAACATCAATCTTCCTGCAGAATTATATGTGTATATAACATATCATATGCATGTTGTACACCTGTACAATAAGAATCGGGTCATCACCAGCACACACTCCATTATATCATTGTCACAGCTTGTTATAAGAAATAGAAATCCTGAATAATAATCAAAATAATGGAGGAAGAAGAAGAAAAGGGAGGTAGAAGAAAAGGAGGAAGGGAGGGAGGGAGGAAGAAGAAAAAGGAGGAAGGGAGGGAGGGAGGAAGAAGAAAAAGGAGGAAGGGAGGAAGGGAGGAAAAAGAAAAAGGAGGAAGGGAGGGAGGGAGGAAGAAGAAAAAGGAGGAAGGGAGGGAGGGAGGAAGAAGAAAAAGGAGGAAGGGAGGGAGGGAGGAAGAAGAAAAGGAGGAAGGGAGGGAGGAAGAAGAAAAGGAGGAAGGGAGGGAGGGAGGAAGAAGAAAGACAGAAGGGAGAAAGGAGGAAGATAGAAGAAGCCGCCAATGTTTTGGGGCCATGCAGGGTCTGTTCTTTAGGGCGTCATGGTGATGATGAGTCGTCTTTGTGTGTGCTGGTAATTAACTGATTCTTACTTTGGAGTTCCACGCAGCGCCATCCGTGTTATCACTGCGAGCACCACTGCTCTGCGAGGTCATAGGGCTGTATTGAGTGCAGGGGACACACAACACTATATATACCCCTTTGTATAAACATCCAAAAACCCCAACACCCTTAGCTGGGTGCTGCCCTGTTAGATGTGATGTCAATAGCCCCATCAGACTCAATAGACACTCTATAGAAGGGGGAAAGCAAACAAACACAGTCCTGCATCTGCATCTGCCTCTGGGAGTCATGCCTGTGGCTGTCAGCCTTGCAATGCCTTATGGAATCTGTAGTTGAACCGCAGCCAGAGGGCCAGAATTTACCTACCCCTAACTGTATAGTATTTCCCTTCCCCCAGCTGCTACATAAAAGGTTATGTATGGAGGTGAGGGGTGGAGGAGCTGGACCAGCACAGAGTAACCAGACACTCCAAGGAGAGGGATATGACGTGCAAGGACAACGGGGCTGTGCTAGGAAATTGAACTTGCTAGTATATGCGACTACTGCAGGAAGATTCAAAGGCACATTACAAATTAATAAAAACAAAACTATGTAAAAGGTAAAATGCCACGAGTCATCATTTAAAATACTGGACTTGTCGGTGCTTTTACCTGCAATGTTTTAGGTCGTCTCTTTAAGCTCTTATACTAAAGTTGATATATTAGTGAAGTACAAAGTTTGATGAACAAATCTCCACTAGTATCAGCACAACTAAAATGATCTCCATAAATGTATATACACCATGAATGTGTCTCCGTGTCCTCATCTTATATCATTATAATGTAAAACCATTCAAAGCAGAAGATTAGGAGGCCGCACATACCAGGCCGCAGAGTCTGCGTGTAGCCCAATCCAATCAGACTGGCGTTGTTAACTTTGGCCTAGAAGAAGAAGAGCACAATTCTGTCATCACCAATTATGGGAACAAGTTACACACATTGTTTTTTTATTAAGCAGCTTTGGATGTTCTGAACCCATATGGAAGGCCCAAGGCATGCAGAGAATGTAGAGGGAAAACAGTCAGCTGGTTCACAGGTAAAGTCCATCCAAAACTTCATATCCATTTACTGATTAGATGATTAAAGTGAATGTAAACCCCAACAATGAACTTCTCGTATTTGGTCTCTTTCTGTCTGGTAAATATACCACTGAAAGTAGGGATGTACAGATATATAGCCGCCGCCGAAACATATCATAGCATAATGCCGAAAGTGCCATTTTCCTGCCGATACATCGATGCATCCCATGTTTCCTTCCTTCCCGCTGGGTGGTGCTCTGTGTACCAGCGGGGAGCAGAGAAACTGTGATAGCTGGCCGAGCGCTGTGGGAGGAGAGCGCTGTGAGCGGCCGGCGTCTCCTCCCACACCGCTCAGTCTCCTATCACAGTCCGGCAGAGCGGTGTGGGGGCGGAGACAGGCCGCGCTGTCACAGGAGGCTGAGCTCCCCTCCCTGCACCGCTCGCTCAGCCTACTGTTGTGGTTATAGTAAACACACAATGTCCTCATGTTATCAGTGATCAGGAACACTCAGTATTGGGGACTCCTGTTCATTGATAACGGGGGATACAGAATAAGAGATTGAGGACTCTGTGTCTCGGAGGACTTTGTGTCCTCAATCTCTTTTTCTATTTTAAAAAGGGAAATATCGGGTCTGTTTAGATCCCCAATATTTCCCAGAAGCCCCTAAGAGTAAAGTAGAAAAATAAAAATATTTAATAAAAAAAATTAATAAAAGTAAATATAAAAAAATTAAAACGTTTATAAAAAAAATATAAAACATTTAAATAATTTTACATTTTTTTAAATAAAAAACATTTTCGGTATCGGTCTGACAATTTTT